TGCCCGGCGACGCGTGGGGCTGAGCCTCTGACGTCGTGGGAGCGTCAGCCTGTGTGTGTGCTGCTGCGTGTGCGTCATGGGTGCCTGTGTTTTGTGTGGGGGTGAGGCAGCTCCTAAATGAGCCAGCCTGTTGTGGGGATGACACTGTGTGCCCTTGAGAGAAGTAGTGAGAGGTGTGTGTGTGTGTACACACAGAGACACCCCTGCCCAGGGTCAGGCCGGAGCATTTGGTGGATGTGGGCAAGGGTAGGAGAGGGTGACCTGGGGAGTGTGGGGCAAGTCCGGGCAGGAGAGCCCCTGTCACCCTCCTGACCCCGTCCTCCCCAGGATAGCCATGGGGTCTCATTGGTGCCAGTGATGGGAGGTCCTTGAGCCTAGGTTTGGACGTGGCATGGACGTGGCATAATCTGTATGGACAGGTGTGAGGTGAGCACGTGCTAATATAGTGTGTGACGGCAGGCATGCGGCTGTGCGCACCCAGATGGGACACTGTGTGTGGTGTGTGTGAAGCGCGTCTGGTGGTGTGTGTCCAGAGAGAGTGCGTGCGTGCACCGGGGCCTGCTGTGTGCCTCTACTGTGTGCACAGGTGTGTGCTACACGGGTGTGTGGTGTAGGGAGGTGTGTGTCCCCAGGGTGTGTGTGTGTGTCCGGGTGTGATGTGTGTGCCTGTCGGGGTGTGTGCGCGTGTGCGTGCAGGGGGCCAAGGGAGAAGGGTCTTGGGCCGCATCTCTCTCCTCTTTAGACAGAGCCCCAGAGAAGATATGAAATTTAAAAAAAAAATCAATTTTCATTCCACTTGTGCAGATCGTGTTAAGGGGAGGCGGCGGTGGGGGGGGGGCGCTGGGTGAGGGATGAAGGGGCTGGGGTGAGGGTGTGAGGCCCGAGGCGGCTCCCGAGGCAGCCGGAGCAGCTTAGAGAAATCAAAACAACTGGTTAAACCCCAGCCCAGGGGGCCGGGGTGATGGGGGCCCTGAGGAGACAGAGGCAAAGAGAGATGGGGAGAGACAGAGAGGGACAGAGACAGGGAGAGACAGAGACACCCAGAGACAGAGACAAGAAACAGAGACACTCAGAGATGGAGATATTTGGAGATAGAGGCAGACAGAGAGATGGGGCCACAAAGACCCTGAGAGAGAGAGAGACAGAGAGAGGAGAGACACTGACACCCAGCAGGCCTGAGAGAGGCTGGGATCTGTCTCTAGTGAGACAGCAGCAGAGGCAGGCCTGGGCCAGTGCGCGCCTCACACACGTGCACACGCAGGGGCAGGGGCTGGCTTGGGACATACACGGATGGATGGGTGGATGGACAGACAGCTGGACAGATGATGGCAGGAGCATCAGGACCCCAGGGTGGGGTTATCTCTGAGTGCCCAGCCCACCCAGTTGGGCTGTGGGTCTGAGTGTGGCTCTGTGTGTGTGTGTGGAGGCCGCGTGTGTTTGTGGCCTTGCAGTGGCTGGCTGTGTTGGTGTGGTGTGTGCACCGCTGTCTCCTTGCGTGATGGAGCACGTGTGCACGCAGGGTCTCTGGCGCTTGTCTGTGTGACTCGTGTGCTCTCGTGTCACTTGTGTGTGACTGGCTTGGCTGTGCTGCTGGCTGTGTCTGTTTCTGTGTGGCGCTGTGTCAGTGTGTGATTGTAGGTCTCTGTGTCTGTATTTGATTGTGAGCCTTGGTGTATGAGAGTGTGCCTATGTTAGTGTGTGTCTGTCTGTGATTTATGGTTGTCTGTCTGTGATTTATGGTTGTATGTCTTTGTTTCTGTATGGGACTGAATTGCTGTGTGTCTCGTGCATATCTGTGTGTAACTGTGTGTCTGTCTCTGGGTTGAGGTCTATGACCGGGATGGTGTGTGTGTGACTATTTTGACACGCATGTCTGTCTGTTGTGTGAAACATGGTGGTATGTGTGCCTGGGTTGCTGTGTGGGTCTATGTGATGTGTGTCAGTTGTGACAGTCTTGATGTGTATGAGTTTGTGGACATGTGCATCACACATCTTTGTGCTGTGTGTTGTGTGTGCCAGTGTGGTGTGTGTCACTTTGTTGAGCTGTGGCAGTGTGGTGCGTGTGCCTGGGTCGGCGTGTGGGTCTGTGTAGCTGCTTTGCAGGGAGAGGAGGAAGGGCCGCTCTCGCCCACCCAGCCCCTCTCCACACTGCTGCACGCACACGCTACACGCGCACACACACATATTCGGTGCCATGGCTGCGGGCGGTGGAGATGGGGGGCGGGGGGTATGGAGGAAGCAAAATAAAATTAAAAATTAAAGCTTGCCCGGAGTCCCCATCCGCCCCGCACGGACTGACTGGGAGGGTCGGGGTTGCGGCAGGCAGCTCCCCGTCTGCAGTCACTGGGGCTGTGTGTCCGTCCTTGTGTCCGGTGTCCTGCCAGGCCCCTGCCAGGGCCGCAGCCCCAGCCCCGCAGGCCCTGCTCCCCCCATCGGTCGATCTGCGATCAATGGGGCCAGGGGGGCGCCGGGGGCAGGGCGAGATCAAAGGGGCCCCAAGAGACGGATGCTGGGACAGAAACAGAGATTCGGAGACGGGGAGACAGAGACAGAGAGACATGGAGACAGGGATGTTGGGAGGAGAGATGTGGGGACCCAGAGACATAAAAACAGGGTGGTGTGGAGACGCAGAGATGTGAGGACCCAGGGACGGAGAGACATGGGGACCCAGAGATGCGGCGCTGCACCCCGGACAGTCAGGGCAGACATGCAGGGAAGGAGACAGAACCAGAGGGGGTGGGGGCCGGTCCCCGTGGGCCTGACAGGACACAGGAGGAGGACAGAGACGGGAGAAGAGGCAGGCAGAGACCTCGAGATGGCAGAGATGCGAGCGGGAGAGAGATGAGGGGGGAGCGTGGGAGCAGGCCCCGGAGCGCCGATCCCACGGCTCCTCGTTATAACGTGTCCGGAGGAGGCGGCGGGGAGTTGAAAGCGTCGGGAAGAGAAATCAAAACCAACACGGAAATGAGAGGGGCCAATAGGGGGTGGGGGTGGGGGGGTGCGGAGGCAGGAGGGAGGGGGCCCGGAGAGGCAGGGAGAGCTGGGGAGGTGGGAGAGATGTGGACTGGGCGAGGTGCGGGGGAGTCGGGGGACAGAGGGAGATGGGGAGGGAGGTGGGGGCAGAGAGACGGAGAGAGTTAGAGAGGGGAGAGGAGGGGGGAAAAGAGACAGATGGTGCAGAGAGAGTGAGAGATGCAGGACCTGGGGAGACCGGGGGAAAGAGACAAGAGAAGGGATGGGGGACGGGGAGGGACAGACCTGGAAAGAGATGGGGGAGAAGACGTGGAGGACGGAGAAGTAGGGAAAGACTGAATGATGGAGGGAGAGAGACAGAGAGAGACAGACAAGGGGAGAGAGCTGAGTGGAGAAAGGTGGGGAGAGACACCCCAGGTTGAGGGGAGACAAGGAAGGAGGGAGGAGAGAGACAGAAAAATGGAAAAGAGATAGTGGGAGGAGACAGAGAAGGGAAAAGAGAGACAAAGAGGGAGAGAGAGACAGGGAGGGAGATAAACGGAGAAAGTTGGGGAGCTGGGGTGAGATGGGGATGTGGGAGCGAGGGCGGAGGGGCTGCCCCCAGGAGGGTCTGAGTGCTGGAGGGAGCGAGGGGGAGGAGCCTCAGTAGACACGGGGCTGGGGGCTGGGGTGAGGGTGGCCGTGGGAGACCGGACAAGTGTGAGGGCAAGTGGGCTGACAAGTCCCCTCTGGTGCCCAACGGGTGGGGTGGGGCTTACGGGGGAACAGTGTGTGTGGGATCTTCTGAGCAGCCGGGCGTGTGACAGGGATGGTGTGTATAAGAGTGTGTGACGGGGAGGGGTGCGGGGGTATCTGAGGGGCTTGTGTCTAAAGGAGGGAGGCTGAGGACAGCGCGCCCTCTGAGAGGTGGGGTCTGGCGGGGTGGAGTGGTGAGAGGCAGAAGGATCTGGGGGTTGGAGTGTCTGGGATGGGCCTCTGACAGGAGCAGATGTCTGAGGGTGTGGGTGACCTAGGGTGAGGTCTGGGTGGTGGGGTATCTGAGGCAGAGGGCTGACAGAAAGGGGAAGGGTCTGAGAGACAGGGATGGGCAGGGGATGGAGTGTCTCAGGAGAATTAGGTAACTGAGGAGAGGGGTGTCCGAGGGAGTGGGGATCTGAAAGGGGGGACCTGTTGCAGTGGGGGGGAGCCAGATACAAGGGGTGTCTGAAGGGGGCTGTCTGGGGGGGAGGCAGGTCTAAGGGGAAGGGGTGTCTGGGGGGACGGAGGTCTAAGGGGAAGGGGTGTCTGGGGGGAGGCAGGTCTAAGGGGAAGGGGTGTCGGGGGGGAGGCAGGTCTAAGGGGAAGGGGTGTCTGAGGAGGGCTGCCTGCCTGCGGGGAAGCAGGCCCAAGTGGTGGGGGTCTGAGGGGAGCAGCAGGTCGAAGGAGGGGCCTCTGCGGGAGCACTTATGCGGGCGCTGGGGGCCCGCTCTGCGGGGTGGTGAGGCGGAGGGCAGGGCGGGCAGGGGCTGGGCCTGCCCCCTCCCAGCCTGTCGTCGGGACGGCCGCCCGCCCGGTGCTGGCCGGCTCTGGGCCGACAGATGAGAGCTCCGGGCAGCGTGGGAGCTGGATGCGGCAGCCCGGGGGTCAGCCGGGAGGGGCGGGGTGGGGCCAGGAGGTTGGCAGTGGGAGAGACTTGGGGCAGCCACAGAGAGAGACAGAGGGAGACCCAGAGACGCACAGACGGACCCTGAGAGGTCTGGCGAGAGGCGAGGGATGGAGAGACCGCGGCAGAGACGGTGCAGGGTGGGCGGGCGGCGGGAGCCAGCAAGCGTGAGTGAGTGAGTGAGTGAGGAGCGAGGAGGGAGGCTGGGAGCCCCTGGTTCGTGATGGGGCGCAGAGGAAGCGGAGGCTGCCGGGAGGACTGACTGGGAGGGAAGGACAGGGCACAGGGCCGGGAGAGGGACCGGGAGCCCGGGGGACCAGCAGGCAGAGGGGTGCCCGCTGGAGGAGGCAGGCGGGGCGGGATGTAGGGGGCAAGGGCCGCGGGCACCAGCCTGGCTGGGACCTGGGTGGAGGGGCAGTGCCAGCCCCCATGACCCCCGTCTGTCTCTCCCGCCTGCTCCATCCCGTCCTCATCCGTCTGTCTGTCTGGCCTCTCTGCAGGGCCAGCTCCACCATGGACTGTAGCTGCGTCTCCGACCTTCTCTTCGCCCCGCCTGCCCTGCCGGCTCTCTGGACCCCTGGTAACTGGCCTGGACCTCCCCCACCCCTTCCCCAGCCCTCGGGCCTTCCCAGCAAGCCGGCCCCGCCTTTCTGCATCTCTCACTGTCTTCCTTCCACCTCCCCGGGTCTTAGTCAGAGTCGCCTGAATCCAACCCCTTCCTGAAAAACTTGGCTAAAAACTTCACAGCTAGATGTCCCTGCCACCTGCCTGCTGGGACGCGAGCGTCTTTTGGATGGCAGGTGAGGTGTGGAGGTTGGAGAGGGACAAGGAACCTGGGGCCTGAGGACCTGGGGTCTCGGCCGGCTGCAGTCTGCTCCCACCCAGGACCTGCGGTCAAAGAGAAGCAGGGAGACTGGAGAGAGGTGGGCACGGATGGGGCAGGGATGGGGACGAGAGGGGGCACTAGGCTAGGCGCTGGTGGACGAGTGGACAGACTGGATGACCCAGGCAGGGGGACATGGAGACGTGGCCAAACCAGCCGGAGCCTGGGAAAGAGGACGGCTTGCTTGGAATTGGATCACCAGAGCGGGGATGTGGGCGCGCCCCACAATGAGAGAGACAGAGAGAGACAGAGAGACAGAGAGAGAGAGACAGAGGAGAGAGAGAGATAGAGAGAGAGAGAGAGAGAGAAAGAGAGACACGAGACTTGGTGCCTGGTTATTTGGGGTCTTGGAGTGTGTCTCTGTGTCACCCTTCAGTGTTTCCGGAAGAAGGGGTCACACTGGAAAAGTGTGCATTCGTCTCTTTGTTGAGCTGGTGTGCCTGCTTGTCTGTGTACCTCCGAGGCTACCCGAGTGTCTCTGGGCTGGGCGTGTTGTGTGTCTTTGGGACTTTGAGTGGCTACATTTCAGGGTTGGGGGTGTCTGCCAGCTCGCCGCCACGTGTGTTCCTGCCTCGGTGGCTGAAGAGCCTCTGACCGCTTTCGCGGTGTGTGGCACTCCGAACCGAGTGGACGGCTAATCTTGGTGCATTGCGGGCTGCGGGGCTGGGTGCTCCCCAGGCCTCTGTGTTGGGGGCTGTGTCTGTGTTTGGGGTGTGTGGAGGTGGTTCTTGCATCTGCGTGTCACTGAGTGTAGCTGGATATTGGGGGCTGTGTGTCTTGATGTGTGTGTGTGTCTTGACGTGTATGTGTCTGTGTGCCGAGGTTGCAGGTCCTCCCTCTTGTTGTGTGTGCGTGTCAGCATGTACAGCACATCCCAGGACGTGCGTTGGACAGGTAGCGTTCCGGGCTGCGCTGTGTGTCTACGTGTGTGGCAGTTGTGCGTTGTCACCTTTGGGGTCGTGTGGGTGTGTCTGTGATACAGCCACTTCCCCCCGGGATGTGTTCTGGGTGTGGAATGGGCCAGAGGCCGCGTGTCCCTGTTTTCTTAGGTGAGAAAGACCCCAGATGGAGCTGAGAGAAAAATTCTCCCTTCAGGGAGGAAACTACCTGGCCTTCTCCAGCCTCAGGCAGGGAGGCAGTATTTCCCATTTTTAGATACCAGGCAGCCTTGATGCGACCCTGCTCCTCCTTGCCTCCCATCCCTGAAATTCTGATAAGCCAGAGAGGGCAAGGAACTGCCCAGGACCACACAGCAAGTAGATACAGATGGTCTGCCGGCTCGGAGTCCCCTCCATCACCAGCCTCCTTCCCTTTCCTGCATGGTTGTCACCTTCTTATAGGCTAATTATGCCTCCTGTTTTCATGCCTGGTTCTGGGGTCTCTGAGGAGGGGGAAGGGGACAGAGGATGTGGCATAGGAGAAGCAGGACTCAGGGCCTGGGGCCTTGCGGATGGGAGGTGAGATTTAGGGGTGGGCAAGCCCCTCCTGTCTCCACCTAGCATCTGGGTGTCTGGACATGGGGCGCAGGACCCCCACCTGAGCGTGAGACATACAGCACTGAGCTGTGGGTGTTAAGAGTTGGGTGCCTGTGGGGCTGGGGGTTGGGAGGCTGTTCTACTGTCATGGTGTCACCCAGGGTGTGCCTGTCAGGTTGACACACGCGTCTTGATGCTGCATTCACTGTCTCCACCACAGTGTTTCATCTGGGCCTTTGGGGTCCTGCGTGTCTCTCATCATGGTCCTGCTGTTAGTGGATCCCAGTGCTGAGGGGCCTGAGATGTGCTGTTGCGTGTGTTGGGATGGGTGTGCGATGCTCCGTATCCGGTGTGTCTGCCTTGGTGGCACATGGTGGGTGGTGTGTCATGCCCCAGCAGGAGTGTGCCACTCTGGTGCACCTGTGTCCCATGGTACAGCTGGGGGGTCCCTCGAGGGTGAGTGGACGTCTGTGAGATAGGCTGTGTGTTGTGGGCATCCGCAGACACTCACTGCTCTCAGACCAATGCAGCATGGATGCAGGGAGGGGACACAGGGACGTGAAAGATATAAATTCATGGACAGGTGCAGAGACACACATGTACACAGGCCCAGCCTGGACGTGCCAGGGTGAGGTCAGCTGGGGCTGTAAGGGGGAGGGAAGTTCAGGGAGAGACGGACAGGAGACACGGAGGGATGGGGGAACAGCAGGAATCAGGGTCTCTCAGACCAGAGCCCTCCGGGGGCAGGGCCAGCCTGGGGGGCTGTGGGGAGAATGCTGTGGAGGGCGTGCCCTTCCCTGCAAGCCCCTCCCAGTTCACCCCCACAGTCAAGAATGCAGGAAGCTGGTCCCTCCCTCCCACCCTCTGCCCACGTTGTGCAAAGGTAGGGGACCAGGCTGGAACTGCCAACCCAGTGTCCCTGGACACCGAGTTCTCTCCCTCTATTTGGACAGTTTGGGGACTAGACACCAACCGGGGCGTGAAGAGCGGGAATCGGGTCCCTAAACATGCGTGAGGCTGGGTGACTGCTTATCAGAGACCAGGAGTCAGGGGAGAGCTGGATGCCTCCTGGTTCCTGAATCCAAGGAGGACCCAGAGCCCCGGACTTGGCGCCCTGACCCGGGGCCGCACCCCTGCCTCCTGTCCCCAGGGTTTGCCTTCCCGGATTGGGCCTACAAGCCGGAGTCGTCCCCCGGCTCGAGGCAGATCCAGCTGTGGCACTTTATCCTGGAGCTGCTGCAGAAGGAGGAGTACCAGGGTGTCATCGCCTGGCAGGGGGACTACGGGGAATTCGTCATCAAGGACCCCGACGAGGTGGCTCGGCTCTGGGGCATCCGAAAGTGCAAGCCCCACATGAATTATGACAAGCTGAGCCGGGCCCTGCGGTGAGGAGGGGCTGGGGGCCGGGACTCCCACTCCCACCTCGCCCCTTTCCCCTCACTGCCCCTCTGGGCCCCTGCCCCCTGGGGGCTTTCCCTCAGCTTCCTGGGGCAGAATCCTGTGGGATCCCAGCACACAGGGCTCTGCACGTGTAGCTACTGTAAGTACCTACTTGTGAGTGAAAGGAAGGCACGAAGGAAGGACCGGAGCCCTGGGCTTTGGAGCCACACAGGCCAGGATCCCAGCCCCTGCCTCACCCCTTCCTTGCCCTGTGACCTTGGCCAAAGGATTTCTGCGAGCCTCAGTTTCCCCAAGTTGTTGTGCTCTGTGCTGGGCACAGAGCACGTGTTGGGGCTCTGCCTTCACCTCCCTGGGTCCCGCCCCCAGCATCCAGCATCCTCCTCCTGCCCACAGCTACTACTACAACAAGCGGATTCTTCACAAGACCAAAGGGAAGAGGTTCACCTACAAGTTCAACTTCAGCAAAGTCGTGCTTGTCAATTACCCACTGTTGGACGTGGCAGCAGCCAGCACGGGCTCTCCACTCTTGCTGAGCCCTGGTCCCTTTGGGGGAGCCCCTGGGCCAGATGCTCCTCCCCTCACCCCCGAGGTGAGTTAGGATCCTGGGATCCCAGAGCGAGGTGCTTAGTGCCATGAACCCCCTGGGGAGGGGGCAACCAGTCTGAGCGGCACCCACTCCCTCCCCTCCCTCTCCAGACCCTGCAGACCCTGTTCTCTGCCCCACGCCTGGGAGAGCCGGCGGCCCGGGTACCCCTGTTCACCCCCGAGACAGACAAACTGCGTCTGGACAGCCCTTTCCCATTCCTGGGCTCTGGTAAGGGCCTGGGGTCCAGGCGTGCCGGGGAGGGCTGTGTGAGGGCAAAGATGGGGGAGGAGACAGGATGCAGGAAGGAGGCTCCAGGCGAGGCTGTGTGTGTGTGTGTGTGTGTGTGTGTGTGTGTGTGTGTGTGTGTGTGTGCGTGCGCGCACGTGTCGAGGCTCTGTGTGTGTGTATGTGTGCGTGTGCGTGTGTGCACGTGTGTTTAGAAGTCGGAGGATGCGAGGTGAGGCAGGGAGGAGGGAAGCTGGAAAGGGGGACAGGCCGAGAGAAGGGTTTTCTGGGGGCGCTATATGAATGGGAGACGGGTGGGGAGGTAGAGATGGGGGGAAGCCACGTGAGGGTGGGGAGATCCCGTGTGGGAGGACAATGGGAGAATCGGGTGGAATATGGCAGGGAGGTGGCACCCTTTACTAAGGCCCTGGCAGCCAGCCCCGATAGTGGGGCAGAGAGGCCCAGCCTGAACGCCACCCCTGTTCCGCCACCCCACCAGGTGCCACCGGCTATTCCAAGCCCCCCGGCCTGCTGGGTCCCTTCGGCCGCGCCTTCCCAGAGCACCCCTGGAACTTTAGCCCTTACCTCACCGGCCCCTTCCCCAAGCTGCCCCCGCCTCTCTACCCCCCCCACTTCTACCCCAACCCTCTGGCCAGTTCCCTGGGCCACCTGCCCTCAGCAGGGGCAGGGGGAAGCCCCACCGCTGCGCCCCTGCTGGCTGCCGCCGCGGAGGGCCTGGGCCCCGAGCACCCCTCGGGCCTGGCAGCAGCCCCTCGTCTGGCACTGCCGAGGGCTGGGGGCCCAGAGGCCGCGCTGGGGGGGAAGGACAGCGACTCGGAGCTGGAGATTACCGATGTCAGCGGCTGCAGCTCTGACAGCGAGGGAGATGAGGGCCTCCCCGTGCCCTCCAAGGCCAAGGCGGGCAAAGGGGGTGTCGGCAGCTGAGCCCGGGTGATGGATTCTGCCAGGGCGGGGACCAGGGTGGCCGCTCGCACAGCCTCTTCTGTTGTCTGGTCTGCTCTCGATGTCCTGCCTGAGGCCGGGGAACAGCCTTCGGCCCCTCCCAGGCCCAGGCCCACGGCGGCCCCAGTCTTCTTCCCCAGCCCCAGACTGGGGGGTCTCACCTCCCCCTCCAGAGAGGGGAGGGGACACGATGGCCTCCAGCTTCCTCCCCAGGCTCCAGTTTGAGGGGGGTCCCCGCCTGGCCCACTCCCAAAGTGCAATACGGCGCCCAGCCTTCCCTGCCCACCTGCCCCTGTGCTGTGACCTAAGTGTTTGTGCGGCCGTGTCTCCCCCTGTGCCGGCCCCAGTCCTGATGCCCCCGCCTCCATCACAGGCCCCCTGGGGACAGGGAGCTCAGAGCAATAACCCCGCCCCCAGCCCCCACCCAGGAGGCCCCCCCCCCCGCCCCATGACCCCCACCAGCGACCTCCAGAGAGTTTACTACAAAAATAAAAGAACAGAAAGAAGTGTGAGATGCAGGGCACCCAGCGTTGTCGTGCGTGACCAGTGGGCTCAGGGGTGGGAGCTGGGAGGGGTGTTGGGGGGGGCCTGGGGAGTCACTGTCAAGACACAGGGACGAATGAATGAACAACTGGAGAAAGGCAAAAGGCACAGAGGCGACGGGGTAGGACAGACGCAGGAAGTGATGCCAGACAGTTGTGGAGGATTCCAGACACCACGCCCGGGCCCTTGCCCGCCCTCACAAACACAGACCTCTCCTTAGATAATATATATTAAAAAATAAACCTCCAATTCAGGGTATAAAAACAGAGCAAAGGCACTTGGGGGTGGGGGCTGCCCCCCCACCCCGGGCAATACTGAGACGGCCCAGGAATGGGGGCCAGATGGTGCCCCCATGGAATGAAGCCCTGAGTCCCCCAAGCAGGAGGGAGAGAAGGCCGAGGCCAGTGGGAGGTTCGGGGGGCAGTGATCCCAGCTGGGCCCCCCTAGGCGTGGCCCTGGCAGCCTGGCTCCCTCTCCTCAGGCCCTTGGGGTTGGAGATGCTGCGGCAGCTGTGCAGTGGCGGGTGGCCCTCTCCTTCTTGCGAAAAGGCCTGGGGGGAGGGAGAGATGTAGGAGAAGAAGGGAGATGGAGATGGGAAGAGAGATGGAGAGAAAGAGAGAGATGGAGAGAGAAACAGACAGGGAGAAAGGGAGGGTGGGGAAGGAGCACAAAAGAGCCAGAGAAAGAGAAACTGACAGAAACGGACAGATGGAGGCAGGAGGCAGAGTGGGGAGATGCGGAAATCAAAGACAGAGGGAGAGAGACGGATGGGGCTGTGCAGTGGCGAGTGCCTGAGGTAGCCACTCTGGTCCCTCCTCTCCAGGTGGTGCCTGGCTCCCCCAGTCCCCCACTCACCTGCCTGGGGCAGGGGTCCTCAGGTACAGCCAGACTGGGGGACAGTGTTCTCCCCGAGCGGAGACAGGAGGAGTCTCAGGCGGCAAAACTCCTCCTCCACCTCCTGGTTGGGGATCCTCAATGAGAAGGGTCCCTCCACTGAGTCAGCCCCCTTCCTCCCCACCCCCCACCCCCAAGGCCACCACCTCCAGCTGTTTAATGGTCTCCTCCAGGCTGAGCAGCTCCTCCCGAATTTCCTGGGGCTGTGCTGGGCTTGGGGGGCCGCCCCCTGGGACTCCATCGCCTTCGAGCGGAGGCCCCACCCCGCTGTCTTCCTCCGAGGGAAGCAGGAGCTGCTTCAGGGACAGCACTGGACAGGGGCAAGGGGACAGAGTCAGAGGCAGGGCTCGGGCTGGGATGGGTGGGAGGTGAGGGGTGGGAAAGAGGCCAGGGGCCTGCGGGTGGGAGTGAGCTTCCGGTTGGCCAGACCTGCAGAAGGGGCTGGGGGCTGCAAAAGGGGGTGCAGAGGTGAGGCTGGGGCTAGGGTGGGGGAGGGGCGGAGGGCACCGAGGACAGAGATGGGTCCAGGGAGAGGCTAAACTGAAGGTTAAGGAAGGGACGGGGCTGCAAAAGGAAGAGGGACTTGGGGCCGCCAAGGACAGTGGTGCAGGGTCGGGCCGCGCAGGAGGTGGATTTGGTGCATTTGTTTCTGGCCGCTGGCCATATGGCAGGTTGGAAAGCACTGTTCCGGCTGGCGGCAGCCCTGCGGGGGTGGGGCTGAGCTACCTTTCTGAAGGGCCTTGGCGGCGAGCTGGCCCTCAGGGCCTGGTCTGCAGAAGGGCAGGAGGGCGCTGAAGATTCTCTCCATCCGGCCTGGGTCGGGGAGCAGGCAGGGGACTCAGATCCTGCTGGGCTTCCTGTGGACACCCCACCCCCACTCGGCACCCCTCCATCTAGGCTTACCGTCAGCCGGAGGCATCTCTCGGCCACCGTTGCCGTTCTCAGAGCTGCTGAGCAGGGGTTCACGGGTGCTGGGGGGAGCAAGTGCTGGGTGACCCCGCCACCCTGGCCCTGGTGGGCAGCAGGGGCAGGGAGACAGAGAACTAGAGGTGGGGAGGCAGGGAGGTCCGGAGACAGAGACAGAGGTCAAGGCTGGGAGACAGGGAGACAGACAGGCCCGGCTGGTGGAAGACAGAGAGGCCTGGATAGGAGACAGATGGACCGTGGTGGGGTCGGCGCACGCGTGTACACACCTTCACAGGCATGCGCGTGCACACACACACACGGACACACACGTGGAGACTGGGCTGGAGCTCAGGTTCTGGGGACACACAGGGAAGCTGCCCCCTGCCCTCCACTTGCCTCCCTGGCCCCCTCACCTGCTGGGGCTGGGCCGGTGTTTGGGTCGGGAAGTGCGGGCAGGGACCTTCAGGGATCCAGCGGTCTCAGTGATGAGGGCACACCAGCTGGCGAGACAGGGCAGCCCCTGGGCAGTCAGAGCCCCCAGACCCTGTGCCAGGACCTCCCACCCACCCCCTGTCCCCAGAGATCCGGGGGCCTGGGCCTCCTCCCCCTCCACCCGCTCTTGGAACCCAGAGCTGCTCACTTCTTCCGCTCCGACACAGTCTGGGCCACCAGCTCGTATATCTGGGCCTCCTGGTCCCAGGTAAAAATGACATAGAAGGCTTTGTGATCTGCAGGGGGAGGGAGAGGTGAGGCTCAAAGCCAGGGCCATCCCAACATGCACCTGGGGAAGGCCCCCATCATGGTGGCACCTTGTGGCTCCCACGACTCAACTCACCCCCCGCCCCGCCCCTGGTGCCTCCCTCCGGAGCCCTCCCTCACCTAATCAGGAAACAAGCTCCCAGTCTGGCTCTACCTATGAGACCCTTGGAACCACTCCCACCACCACGGCCCCTCACTGGGCTCCCAGCTCCCACCCCTGCTGCCTACAACCCCCAAGAGGCAGCCAGGGTGTCTTTTCAAAATACCAGTTAGAACTGGCTGCTCATCTGTGCAAAAACCTGGGGCAGTTCTCCATCTCACTCAGTAAAAGCCACAACCGGCCTGGGGCCCCGGCCGTGCCCAGCCCAGGGCCCCCCTCTCACAGCCTCGGCCTTGGGCTGCCAGGCCTCCCCTTGGCCAGAACGTGTGTGCCGGGCTCCTCGGAGGGCTCCTCCCCTGCCTCGGGGACCGCTGTGCCCGGGGCCTCACCAGTGGCCACCTCTCGGGTCATGGCAGAGGTGAGCCGCAGCACCGGCCGCAGCATGGTCTTGCCGTCGGGTGTGGGCGTCAGCGTCCGGCTGTGCGATTTGAGCAGCAGCCGCTCGTCCTGGCGCTGCAGCAGCAGCAGCAGGTCGTCCAGCAGCAGGACGTGGACCTCTGCAGGGGGCGAGGCCCGCGCTCAGCACGCTCACTGGACAGCCCTGCCCCGCGGCCCCCCCGCTCGCAGCCCTGGCGCTCACCCACAGCTTTGTCCTTAGTCACCCGCCACGTCAGCGGGCCCTCATGGACCAGCTTCTTCTTGGTGATATCCAGGTTCTGGAGGCAGGAAGGAGTGATGGTCAGTGAAGGTGAGGGCGGGGCAGGGGAAGGTGGGGATGACCATGGGGTCAGGAGGGGCTGCCCCGCTGGGAATGAGAAGGGCGTCAGGGTTGAGGGGCCCCTCTTGCTTCCTGGGTGTGTTATCAGAGAATCCCCAGGGCGGGGCGGAGGGGAGGAGAGGGGAGGGCAGGTGGGGCGGGGGCGGGGCCACCTTGAACTCGCTCAGCATGGGGTCGCTGCTCTGCCGCAGGTGGGACAAATCCAGGCGCCTCTGATAATCCTTGAGCCGCTGGGGCAGGGAAGGGAAGGGAGTGTCACTGCGACAAGCCAAGAGTTGGGGCCGGCCCACGGTGACCCCGACGGGGACAAGCCGGGGGTCCTGCCCAGGCTCACCAGCAGGTCCTCCATGTCGCGCACGGCTTGGTTGACGTGGTGCAGAATTTCCCTGCAGCACTCAGCCGCCAGCTCCACTTTCTCCCGTTCCGCAGGCTCTTCTGCAGGCAAGGGGGAGACCAGCCCCGGTGAACCCCAAACCCTGGAAGCTCCCAGTCCCTAGGCCAAGGTTAGAGACAAGAGAGCGGAGGCCCAGCAGCATGGGGCAGGGCCTGCGGCTACCTGTGTTCTGCCCGATGCTCTGCAGGAGCAGCGGGTACTTGGTCAGACGCTGCATCTCCGTGGGGATCATGTCCTTCAGCTGCAGGCGGCGGCACCGGGGGCGGCTCTCGGCCTCCTGCGGGGACGGCAGTGCTGAGGTGGCTCTGCTGCGGCTGGCCTTGGGGACCGGGACGCCGGCCCCCCTCCCCTGGGACCCTGGGGCCCAGACCCCTGCCTCACCTGCACAAAGGCACAGAACCGAGGCTCCTTGCGCTGTTTGGCTTTGAGCTGCTCTAAGGCAAACGACTGGCGGCTGCAGAAGCGGGAGGAGATTTTCTGGAACCAGGAGCCCTCGGTACCATCAAACTACAGCAAGATTCAGGCCAGGGAGGGTGTCTCAGGTGGGATTGGGGGGAGCGGGGCCTCACATGGGGATGGCAGCCTAGACAGGAGGACAGGTTAGGGGCCCAGACCCCTGGGTCTTAAAGGGGTTGAAAGCTTGAGACCTGGTCTCCTGGGGCCTGCATTTCAGGTCCCCAGCCAGGAGGAGGGGGCGGGGTGAGGGGAAGGGGGGGCACGCTCACCTGGGCCAGCAGCACATCCCCGATCTCCTCGATGAGGTAGCCACTGTCCTGCCTCCGCTTCATCATGCGATCAAGGAACAGGGCTGCGGGGAGCAGGGAGGAGAGGGGGCGCCGTCAGGGCCCGTGAGACCGGATGCAGAGCTGGTCGGGAGCTGGTGGCGGGCGGGCTGGGGGGTCGGGCTGCAGGTGGGTGTGTCTGATCCATGGGGCCGGTGGGCCTGTCCCTCCCTCACTCCCCACCACATGCTTGTTGATGATGTGTCCCTAGAATGTGAGCTCTGGGGTTCTGGTGCGGGGTCGTCCCCAGAGCTGGAACAGAGGCTGCCCGTGAGACCAGGCTCCAGGGTTTGTCGTTGAGGCAACGAAGGAGAGAGCTGGCAGTGGGACGTAGGGCCACAGCCCTGCACTCACAATGCACCTCGATGAGCTCGTCCAGGCTGGGGAAGATGTTCTGTAGCTCCTCCTGGGAGAAGAAGCCCCCATCCGCCATGGGCTGGTAGAAGAGGTCATATAGCACCCGGAGCATGCGCACGTGGGCCGCCTCTGTCACCAGCAGCTCTGCAGGGCCACCGGGCAGGAGGCATGGTTGGGGAGCGTGCAAACTATGGGGGGGCACTCTCAGAGGCAGGCTGGGGAATGAGGAGGGGACGGCACAGGGATGATTCTCTCTGGGTGGAGTCACGTGCCCCTGAAATAGCCACTGAGAATTCCTCAGCCCCACTGCCTTTCTGTTTTGGCTGGGGCAGCCAGACAAGGCGACCCATGGTCCCAGTTTGCCCCGCACCATGGTTTTCCCGGGACATGGGATTTTCAGTGCTAAAACTGGGACAGTCCCAGGCAAACCGAGACAAGTCGGTCTCTCCGCTGCCTGCAGCTGTGTTTTATGTCTAACCGTCCAGCAAGTTTTCTCAGGCTCAGTTTCTGGCACAATGACCCCCTCTCTGCACAGGTTGATGGCCCGAGTTCCAGGGGCCCCAAAAGTCCCCGGAGACTAAATGTACCATTTTGTGTGTTACGTATGTATATTTTTCTGGTGAGAGAAACCGCTATGCTGTCCGACGTGGTAGCCACGAGCCACACACAGCTCTTCAAATATCGCTGAATTAAAATGCAATGCAATGCAAAATTCAGTTCTTAGTTGTACTCACCACACTTTAGGCGCTCAACAGCCATTATATGGCTGGTGGTTACCATGCTGGAAAGCACAGACATTGCATGTTACCATCATTCCAGAAAGTTCTATCGGATAGTACTGCTAATGTTTTGATCAGATCCTCAGAAGGATCTGTGACCCAAAAAGCATTTATCTACTGCCCTAAAAATTCTGAATGAGAACCCTTTTTACTATTAAGTAATCTGTAAAGTAACTTCCAAATGAGCTTCCAACAGGACTGTACATTTGCCAAACTCCCCTCAACACACAAATGAGTTGAAATCACAGCACAGGATCGAAACAAAAACGAAATTCCCATCATCTGTCTGCCCAGAAGGAAGCACCGCTAACGTACTGATTATCTTCCCGAGCTTTGCCGGCTGGGAATCTTTTTGTCTCCCGAGCGCTGAAGACCAGTCATAACAGCAGCTACATCCGAATGCTCTTACCCTGGGCCCACCACTGCTGAACGTTTCACACTGATCGTCTCACCTTCATCTTTGTGACAGTCTCTTGAGGTAGCAACTATCACTGCCCACATTTCCCAAATGAGGAAACAAAGGCTCACGCTAGAAATACAATTTTATAGACCGTGTCTGGCTCCTAACATCAACACTGTCCTGCACTACAAAAAAGTCTTTGGAAATGTCACTTCAACAATGGCCGCATTCCCGTTCCATGGAATATTCAACAATTTACTTAACAAACGGTGCTCTGTCAGAAGCGGGCTGCCTTCAAGCTCTGCCCGGTGTAAGTGACACCGAGATGGACATCTCCCTGCGTCTGTCTGACTTTGCTGGAGCTGGGCTGTGTCCTCGGCCGCAGTGGCTTGGAGGGGGTGACTCACCGCTGATGACCTCCTGCCGCTTCACCTGGCTCTTGGGAAGGCTGTGCAGGGTGCCCGGGGGGACGAGCTCCCGCCAGCCGGGGGGCTCTTCTGGTTCCAGCTCTAGTCCCGATCGGCCCGGCTCCCCCTCATCTCCAGGCTCGGGGCTGTGGGACAGAGGCCTCATTAGGGCCCCAGCGCAGGGCATCCCAGAGAAGAGCCTTCAACTCTTTATAGTGTCCAACCCCATCCCCTAGGGCCGCAGACCAGCCCCCAGATCTGGAAAGAAGCCTCTTGCCCCTCTCCTGTGACCACTGGAGGCCCTCAGTGACCTCAGCATCTGATACCCAGCTCTTGGTGATTCTGGCAAAGACCCCCCACCCCGGCCTCCCTGGCTCTCCAGGCTGCCTCAGTGGATGGGGGGAGGAGTGACGTACGTGGCTCGTCGGGCAGGGCCAAGCACGGCCGTGGCGGAGCTGGGGTCCATGTCCACGTCGCTCCGGGAGCGGCCCCCACCCCGGCCCTTAGCCCCGAGGCTGCCCCGGGAAGGCCGGCGGCGGTCACTCACCCGCAGGCTCTCCGAGCGCCCCAGACGCCCCGACAGCCTGGACCCCGAGGCCAAGGACAGAGTCAGGCAGAGGCCAGGACAGAGATAAGGAGAGACCAAGACAGGGACAGAGACGGGGAGAGACCAGGACAGAGATAGACAGGGACAGGTGGGGAGAGACCAGGACAGAGACGGGGAGAGACCAAGACGGGGACAGAGACGGGGAGAGACCGGGACAGGGACAGATGGGGAGAGACCAGGACAGGGACAGAGACAGGGGGAGACCAGGACAGAGATCAAACATGCAACAGAAGAGAGGAGAGAGTCAGAAGGACCAGTGTGACTTTGGGGTGCTGGGGCAGTGAGGGGGGTGGCCAGAAGGGATACTGAAATTGGTGGAGGAGGGGATGGGAACCCAGTATGGAGCACAAAACTGGCCCCTCCCTTCCCTGAGGCAGGGGGATGGGGACAGAGGCAGGAGTTGAGGGAGGGAAGGGGGATTTCAATACTTAGCTCTTCGGCTTGAGGGTGGCGTGCCCACCCACCCCTCACAGGGGTGAAGGGGAGGGGGTGGCCCATGGGGAGAGGGGAGGGGCTGGGAGAAATGGGGGAGGGGCTAGCCCTCCCCCCACCCAGGGCCCAGGCACCCACCTCTTCCACCTTCTGGGGAGAGAGGGGCACAGGGTCAGAGGTGGACCCAGATGGAACCCAACTCACCTCCCCCACCCGCCAAAGGGTCCCCAAAGCAGCGGCACAAGGACAGGCAGGGGGCAGAGCCTGCCCCCCAACTGTGAGGGGGACAGGGCCCCCAGGCACAGAGCACAGAGGGCTGGGGGATGGAGGGAAGGGGCACTGGGAGGCAGGAGCAAGGCAGCTGGGCTGGAGGCTTAAAAGAGAAGGGGGGAAAAAAAAAGAGAGAAGGGGGAAGAGATGGAAAAGTGCAGGGCGGAGGGTGGGGGCAGAGGGAGAGGGGCCAGGAGGAGCTGAGGGGAGGGAAAGCAGAGGAAGAGGAAGTGGGAGGAAAGGAGAGAAAGAGAGGGGGGAGGGGGAGGGAGAAAATCAGTGAAAAAGGAAGGAGAGGCAGAAGAGAAGGAAAGGGGAGACGAGGAAAGACAGAGCGGAAGAAAAAGGGAGAAGACGGAAAGAGGGAGGAGCGGGTCAGAGTGGAGACGGCTTGGCTCAGGGACAGGCAGGTGCAAGTGGCAGCGCGACCCCCAACACACACCCTCCCTGCACTGCATAAGCCCGGTCCTGCGCCCGGCACCTCCCCTGCACCCAGCCCTGGGCACCTCTCCGTGTCAGCACCCTCCTCTGTGCTCTCCAGGGGTGCTGCAGGCTCCAGGCTGGCTGGGCCCTGCGGGGGCGGGTCCCCCAGCTCCGGGAGGGCGTCAACACCTGTGGGGATAATGGGGGTGGGGAAAGCAAGGCTGGCTGGAAGGTCCCTGCCACGGTGAGACCCACACCCTGGGGGCCTCCGTTCCTCTAAACCCATCCAGTGCCTGGCCGACACCAAGTGGCCGCTCTATACTTCAGTGGGAGACAGACAGATGGAAAGACCTCTGAGAACAGGGTCACGGGCAGGTGGGGCTCAGTGGGTGCAGATGCTGCAAAACTGGGGTGCCAGCCTCGCACTCGGGGAGGAGACTGGATGCCTCCACATCCATGCATTCTCCCAGCACTCAACTGGGACTTGTGGGAAGAGAATGTACCCGTTTAGAGGTGAGGGGACTGAGGTTCGAAGAGTGGGGAGTGACTTCCAAGATCTAACACAAGTCAAGCGCAGAGCCAGGGTCTGAACCCAGGCCTGGCCAAGTAGCAGTCTGAGATCCAGCGGGCTGAGAGCCACCCAAGGAGTGTGAGACCTTAAGTTCATGGAGCAGCCGGGCTCACCATCTAAGGGGGGTTGATTGGTAATGTACTCAGAGAGGGTTCTGGGAAATGAAGCCGTGGGGGCTGATGGGAAACGTAGTCCAGGGAGGTGGGGGAACCTGTCACCAGAACAGAGGTGTGAGCTTGCGAAGAAAGCCGTGGAAAGGGTAAACCGAGGGAAGGGGTGGGTTATCAATAACTCTGGTGACCAGGGGAGGGAGGGCAGAGAACCAAGGGGCTGTTTTGCTGTGGGGCCCAGGAAACTCTCACCTGGTTCCCGGTCAGGGCTGTCCCCAGACAGAGGGTGCAGAGAAACTCCGGGGGTGTCCTGCCCAGGGGCTCCGACATTCCGGTCCCGGGAGGGCACCCCCAAACCTCCCTTACGTTCTGTAAGGCCTGGCTTCTCACCTGGGGAGGCAGTGAAGGACAAAGGGGAATATGAGACTCCAGCGACTCTAATTCACAAAGGCCTGGGGATCCAAGATGCTGGCTCTGCCCCATCCTCCCCATCACCCAGGAGACCCCTACTCCACCCTCAGAGCCAGGAGTCCCAGCCCCTCGCCCCTCCTCCCTCAGACCTAGTAGGTCCCCTGCCCTTCTCTCTCAGGTCCCCAGGATGGATGCTCTAGCTTCAGGACTATTACCATCAGCCTCAACTTTGAGGTGTCGAAAATCTGGGGCTGAAACGAGAGATGGGACCATGAGGTGGGGGCAGCATGGGGAAGTCGGGGCGGGGCTGAGGCTGGGCACCTCACCCTGGGGCTCTCCCCGGTTCCAGCGGGCGGCATCCAGGAAGCTGCTCAGTCCTTTCTTGGTCTTGGTCGGCTCTTCTGACCGCCGGTTCCCCATCACCTATGGAAGGTGGGGGGAGGAGGGGGCTGGGCATTTCTGGGCCGATGCCAACAAAGAGGGATCAGACCCCAGCGGTGCAGAGTCTCGAGGCTACCTGGGGGTCTCTGGGGAGGTAAGGGCCAGGTTTGGGCGCTCAGGGAAGCACCTTTTTCCGGAAGAAATTCCTCCCCGACTTCTTGTCTCCACTCTTGGTCCGCACCCCGAGGTGGCGCATGTACAGGGTGATGGCACTGACCACAGCAGCACTGTGGGGAGGGGACGGTGAGGGCACACAGACACACACACTGCCACGCGCACTCCCACGGATGCAGGTACCCTGCTACCCTCACAGCTCCCCCTCTGTTCGCTTCCCACACCAGCCCCATGACCACTTCCTGCTGAGTATCTGAGGAAATGGGGGAGAGAGAGGGTTTTAGAGGATGCAGCCAGAGGTGTTGCCCAACGCCCAGGCCCCTAGGCGGCAGGCCCTCCTCCCTCGGGCCCAGAAAACCAAACTCCCCGCCAGCCTCTCTCCTTCCATCACCTCTTTTCCTCATCGTTAGAGATGGTGTGTCTGTAAGAAGAAGAAAGAAGTTTGTAACAAATTTGCTAAGCCTGGGGTCCCTGACCACCCAGCACAATTGTCCAGGTTCCTGTCCCCTCCAAAGTTGGCACAGGGAGAGAGGAGAGGCAGACGGGGGCGGGGGGGGGGGCTGCTGCTGACACATCTGCGAAGGACAATCACTGAAGGCCAGACTCTCACCCGGGGTCGTGAGAGTTGCAAGGACAGGACCCAAAGCCCAGGCCTGAATGCAAGACCGTGGACAAGACCCGGAAACTAGGAGGGACCCCAAAGCTGGGAAGGGAAGATGCAAAACCAGATGGACTAAAATGCCAGGGCTGGGCCCCAGAAGTCAGGGGAGGAACGCAAACGCTGGGAAATAAACGCGGCAGCTGCAGAGGGAGCCTGGAAGCGGAAGGAGCGGGGCAGCAGAGGGCGCCCTCTGGGCTGCGGAGGGGCTGGCCCCACTCACTGCATGTCCTCCAGGTGGGTCAGCTGCCGCTCGGCCAGGTGCCGCTCCCGGGCCTCATAGGTGGCGCGGTCCCGCCCAACCCAGGCCCCCAGCTGGATCAGCTCCTGCTCCCAGGGTGTCATGCCCATGAGCTTCTTGGAGCGGAAGTCCTCCAGCTGCCGGCTGACGGCTGCCTGCTGGGTCTGCACCACCTCCTGCACGAAATGCCGCTGGACGTCCTCGGAGAGGAGGTCGGGCCGCGTGCGGTCTGCAGGGACAGCGGCCAGTTCCAGGGGCTGTGACTCCCCGCCCACCCTTCGACTCTGACAGCTATGCTTCCTTGGGCTGTGGGGGCCATGAAGAAGGAAGGACAATCCCCTGTCCTGGGAGCATGAGAGTGTGGCCTCCCTCCTGGGGGTCTCCTGGTCCCTGCTAGAGAACACTTCCTCATCCCCAAATCCCCTCTCCTCTCCTTACCAAGTTCAAAGGCCACGGTGGGAGGGACCAACACCCGCAGAATCTGCTCGGGGAGAGAATGGAGTGAAGGGGAGGACTCGGCAGTGAAGGGGGCAGTGTTGGGATCAGTGGGATGGCAGCCCAAGTACCAGTGGGTATGATGCTCTGAGGGGAGGGAGCAGTGGAGGGGGGGTCAGGCTGGCACAGGGTCTCCCCAGACCAGGCCGCCCTTCACGTTGCCCTCAGCAGGCTGGAGGTTGGGAGGAGCAGGCTGGCTGTCCAGGGTGAAGGGGATGGGGGATGGGGCCCCCTCGAAGGTGTCTCTCACCGCACACTTATCCAGGAAGCTGTGGCAGAAGTCGCCGAAGGCCTTCTTGGCCTCCTTGGGGCCCAGTGAGCCCAGCATGTCCGCGTGCAGGCAGCAGAGCTGGGGGAGACAAAGCATGACCCATCCTCCTCCCACCCCACCCAAACCGCACTGCCCCCTGGAACGCCTCAGGGCGCAAACCCTCTGCGAAGTGCTCCCTGACGTCCCCCATCCCCGTACCAGGCCCCCGCCTGCCTCCCCAGGCCACCACGGCTTTCGTTCATTTTCTCTCCTGTGAAATGGTTCTTTGGTCTGTCTTCTCTCTGCTGCTGCTGCTACTAACGCCTCCCCCAGCTACAGTAAGCGGGCTTGGTGTGTACCTGACGCTGTGCAAACTCTTTAGCCACATTAACCTGTTTAGTCATGGGGAGGACTACCGTCATCCCATTTTACAGATGAGAAAACAGCTAGTAAGTGACGAAGTTGGGACTGGATCTCAGGCAGCCTGTCTCTACTGCTCCCCATTGCCTAGCAATACCGTGAGTTACTTGAGGGCGTGTGTGTGTGTGTGTGTGTGTGTGTGTCTGTGGCAGGGGGTACGTTCTGATTCATCTGTGTCCCAGACAGGGCCTAGTACACAGCAGCACTGAGCACATAAGCAGGAGGACAAGGGCACTCACTCACTCACTCACTCATCAAGCACGCCTTGAGGTCGCCTACGTGGCAGCCCTATGCTGGGTGACACTGGCAATGCTGTGGGGCCTCCAACCTGTCCTGGCTCCTGGGGGACTGTCATCAGGTAAGGGACATGGTCTCAGTGTGCTAAGGACTCGCCCCAGTAATCTATGCCTGCCCCCTCCCCACACCCCCATAAAGCAAAACTCCATCAGAGGCCAACAGGAAGCAGCCCAAGGGACCACGACTATCTCCCGGCCCCTCCCCCAGCCAAGGAGGTTAGGAAACAGCGTGAGGACAAATCTCAAAATGCCGAAGGCCATCTGGGTCACCTGAGCCGAACCTCTTGCCCTGGCCAGGCCTCAGTTTCCACATCTGTAAAGGGACACGGCAGGGCTTCCCTGGTGGCGCAATGGTTGAGAATCTGCCTGCTCATGCAGGGGACACGGGTTCAAGCCCTGGTCTGGGAGGATCCCACATGCCGTGGAGCAACTAGGCCCGTGAGCCACAACTACTGAGCCTGCGCGTCTGGAGCCTGGGCTCCACAACAAGAGAGGCCGCGATAGTGAGAGGCCCGCGCACCGCGATGAAGAGTGGCCCCCGCTTGCCACAACTAGAGAAAGCCCTCGCGCAGAAACGAAGACCCAACACGGCGAAAATAAATAAATAGCTCACTAAACTCCTACCCCCAACATCTTCTTTTAAAAAAAAAAAAAGGGACAGAGCAGTCAGCACAATCCCTGGGCTAAATTCCAGGAGTTCAAGTTCTAGAAACCCTCAGGCTCGGCAGGGGGACTCCCTTGCCCAGAGGGCCAGAGCCTCCATGCACGGGGGCGGCGGGGGGGGGGGGGCAGCCACTTTTCTGGCGATTTCCTGATTGCCTGCCAGCTTCTGAAGCTGTGGTGTCAGTCGATACACTCTTCTCTCTGCACCCCCCAGGCCTCCCTCCCTGCCACTTCCATCAGTCTCCTTGTTTTCTGGAGGGATCTACCACGCATTTCCAGTACAGAGCAGTGCCCTAGGCTAAGCCCAGCTCCCAGCCTGCGCTGGGCTGCACGGGGTCTTCTTGGGACGGGACCCTGGTCCACAGAGCCCCCTCCAGCCAGTGTTGTGGCTTCTCCCTCCCCAAGCCACCTGCTGGGTTCTCTAGACTCTGCAGGTGTCTCCCAGATGGCATGGCTCTGCATGCACACCTCCCCGGTATTTTCTGCCCTATAACAAGTTTTCCGGGTCATCCGTTACACTCCCTCTGCTTCGTGGGCTGCTTGTAGCAGTTTCCTTGTTTCTGGACCAGAGCCTACTGTGCCGCCTAGACCCGAGGAGGCTAACGGTTTTCTCCCAACCACCAGCTCTGAAGGACTGACTGGCGGCACGTGCAGAGAATTTGATTTCCAGAGTCTGTGAAAAGGCGCTGTCACTGATGGGTGATGCTGCCGTGGGCACGGAAGGGGGCCGGGGACATGGTTTCCGCCAGGCTGCTGGATTCTCCGTTGCTCTCCGAGACTCTGCCATGCCCACTCTCCCGGGCTGCGCCCACTGCTCACAAATTTACACGGGGCACCAGCAACCTTGTCTGCATCCTGTGGTGGGCTTCTTGGCTCTCAAGCTGTGCGCTCTGGATCCCGCCTGGCTCATCCTCGCTGGTCTAACGCACTGAGCACTGCGGCTGGTCCCAGCCCCGCCCCGCCCCGCCCCGCGCCTGCCCAGCCCCGCCCTCACCAGGGGTCCTGGCTCGAACTGCATGGCCACGTGCTGCAGGAGGGCCATGAGGTGGGCCGGGCGCCGCTTCACCTGATCCAGGCTCTGGAACTGGTTGTTTTGCTCCTCGGGGTTCTGGGGGTGGGGATGGGAGTGAGACAGTGGGGAGCAGAGGAGGGGTTTGGGGCTTGACCCCCCCTCTTCCCTGGCACTTCCCGATGGATCCAAGCTGGCAGGTGGGGTGCTCATGGTGTCTCTGCTGTGATGGTGGCAAGTCAGGGGTTGGGGAGAATGGATGAGATTTAATGTTACAATGGTGGGTGAAGAGGACAGAAATCAGGAGAGATGGAATGAGGATCTGTGCTGTAATTAGGGGGCGGGGGCAGTGATAAAAACTGGGGTTAAACAGGGTGAGAGACTGTGCTGTAATGGGGGGGGCATTGAGGATGGGGTGAGGGGATGAGGAAGGAGGTACCAGGAAGATTAAAGAAAGAGAGATGGGCAGTGAGAGGAGGCCGAGTGACAGCATCTGAAGACAGAGAACAGGACCCAAGGTGGGAGAGGGGACACTGAGGTTGGGACTTGAGGGCTGGGGCCCCAGGGAGCCTGGGACAGAAGCTTTCCCACCCCACCTCCCTCTCACCGTCTTCAGCTCATTCTCAAAATCCTCATCCTCAGCCCCGATGATGCTGATGGGCACCGGGCCAGGCCGGGGGGGCCCTGGGGCCTGTGGCAGGGGAGGGATGGCTTCAGCCCACACTGCTCCCCACCGCACAGCCCCCCAGTCCCCTCACCCCCCGGCTCTCTCCGCTCTCCACTCACCGCCCCTCGGGCGACGTCTTCGGCCTCCATGGGCTCTGCAGGGCTGGGGGAAGAGGAGGGACCGCGGTTAGAGGGGTGGCAGAGGGCGGCCCAGGGCGGTTACTCACAGATTCCTGGCCCAGGTGCCAAGGTGAGTAAACAGCCTCCGCCCCCATTGCGGCCTCCACAGCTCAATGGGGCCTCTGTGTGGCGACAAAGAGCCCTTCAGAGGCCAGCCAGGGCAGGGAGCCCAAGGACAGGGAGCCTTGTGGGTCGGGGTGGGGGGTGGGGGGGAAGCTGGAGGCCAGGAGCCTGGGGCCGTGAGAGAGCTGCGGCCGTGAGAGCCTGCGATTTCGGGTCCCCGATGGACGAGGGGCTGGGGGCTGGGTCCTGAGGAGGCAGGGCCGGCGGGCGGGCAGAGGTGGAAAGGCTAAAGGGGAGCTGGGAGGGAGGTAACTGGGGCCTGGGGGCTCTGCTCTGCCCTGTGACAGACTTGGGGCAGGATGCTGCCTCTGAACCCACCAGCCCTGCTTCCTGTGACAGGAAGTCACAATGGCAAATCCCCCAACCCCCAACTCCCTCCACACGAGAAAACCAAACTGTGAACCCTCCTCCCTCAGGACCAAGAGTCCTCAACCCCACTTCTTCCCCTTAGGGACCTGGCATCTTTCCGGCTTCCATCCCAGAAAACAAGGGACGGTCCTCAGAGAGCTCATCCCAAGGGGTGTCCATCTCTCTCACCCTATGTCCACCTGTCCGGTCTGTCTGTGTGTCTGCCGGCTCGCCTCTCCCCAGCTGCCTCTCCACTGAATCTGCCTCATGCCTTTGACTCTCTTCTCCCTGTGTCTTCATTTTCTCTCGCCTTTCCTTCAGACCTGTCTCATTTTCCCACTGTCCCTGCCTCCCCTCCGCTAGGCCCCACCCCTGCTTCTCTTGCTACCTGTCTTTCCCCTCAGCCTCTGCCTGTCTCCCCACATCTGGTTCCTGCAGCCACTGTCCCCGCACCTGTCTGCGTCACTGTCTCATTTGCTGTCTCTCGTCTCTCTCCCTCCCATCTCTCGCTGTCTCTCCCATCTTGTCTCCCTTAGAATCTCCACTTCTCCCCGCGTCTTCCCACTGACATCTTCTGTGCCCTTAATTAGTCTGACTAATGCCACTCGAGCCCGTGTCAGGTGGGAAGGCGCTGTGGAAACAGGGGTGGGGTGGACCAGTGCGGGGGGGGGGTTCTCCCCACAGCCCAAAGCTATTTATAACCCTAGCCGCTGGAGACCCACCCTTCTCCCTCTTCCACAGGCCTCCTCCCCAGCACTCAGTAAATAGCAGCTGGGACTTTGATTATGATCATTAAACAATGATGCTTTCTGGAGTGTCCAAATGCCATCCTATGGGTCCACCCAAGCAGGCCTCATTTTTATTCTTTTCCATAAAGTGTATTTGTTCAACATCCAAGCTTGGGTGACTTAAGATCTGAGCATTGTTAAACGTTCACATAAATAAATTTGCAAAACAAGGCAGAAAAATAATAGTAATTTATTATGAGAGCTGAACTTACACCACACTCACAGCGTGCTAGGCACTGCTCTAAGGGCTTCTCACAGAGCAAGTCACCGAACCCTCAAAACCACAAGCACCCCCATGCTACTATTACTCCCATCCGAGATAGAAAACCTTCACTGGGGACTTCCCTGGTGGTCCAGCGGTTAAGACTCCGTGCTCCCAATGCAGGGGGCCTGGGTTCGATCCCTGGTCAGGGAACTAGATCCCGCATGCTGCAACTAAGACCTGGCACAGCCAAATAAATAAATATTTAAAAAAAAAGAAAGAAAGAAAGAAAAAGAAAACCTTCACCAGGCCATCAGCTGCAACTTCTGGGCTGGAAAGCATGACCATGGACATGGAGGGTCCCTGCTCATCCCACTCAGGGGTGGAAAAGTTTGACAGAGGCAGGGAAGATTCCAAAAGGGCAAAGGTGAGGACACACACGTTATCTGAGCAAATGCTTACGTGCCAGGCAGGCCCCGGAACATGTATTTGATGTGTATTATCTCTTTTATTCCTCATCACGATGATAGGAAATAATAGTTAACAGTTAATGTACACTAAGTGCCATTAAATACGTGCCAGGAACAGTATTAATGCTTGATAGATATTAACTCAATCCTTTCAGTGACCCTGTGAAATCAGTCTTCTTCTTCTTATCCCCATCTTACAGAGGAGGAAACTGCAACACAGCTCATAAGAGGCAGAGCCAGGATTCTGACCCAGGCAGTCTGGCTCCAGAATTTATGCATTTAACTCCCAGAATGTGCGGCTTTGGAGCATGGGGAATCCCCACCCCGAACTTAGGAAACTGAAATCTGAACCAAAGCTGAGACACATCAGGTTTCCCTATGGTGTCTGGGAGTCAGGGGTATGTGGGCACTGTGGCCTGGGCAGGAGTACAGATTGGACTCAGCTGCCCCACAGAGGCCTGGGGCTCAGAGAGGATTGGGGAGGGGGGTGGTTGCTTAGAAGATGGGGCGTGGTCCCACAAAGGCTAGAGAATGATGGGTCAGATGGATCTAAAGGCAACTGACAAGCCCTGGGGTCCAGCAGAGGGGGTGCTATGTGCATGGGGCTGTGGAGATGAGGGCAGGTTCAGAAGGTCCTTAAGGGTGGGGGTCCTAGAGCAAAGCGGGCATGTGTGAGGACTACATGGGTGCCTGGGTTCTGTGCAGGGTTCAGGGTCTATAAGATATTGAGTGGATGAGCCTGGTCTCCAACCTATAAGATATTGAGTGGATGAACCTCTAGGAGCCTTAAAGAACCTAAAACACTGAGGAGTCAAGGTGAGCCCTTGGAATGCATAAGGACCCAGATTCTATCTGACATATGATGGGTCTACAAGGATCCTTGGATCACACAGGATCATAAGTCCTTAAGGGGAAGAAGCCAGTTTACGGGATCTCTGGAGACTTAAAAGGGGACCGGAATTCTATAGGGGAGTGTGGTGGTCCCCGAGACCCAGGATCTACAGGGCCCCGGATTCTAGCGGATGCTATTGATCCATGGAAACCCCACATTCTGTAAGGAGCCGGACCTCCATGGGGCGGGGCGGGGGGGGCAGCAGGAACCTGGAGGGTCTGTAGGACCTTGTAATTTACATGGAGCGTGGCGGGTCTACACGAGCCCCAATCATATGTAGGACGTGGCGGGTGTACACGGCCCCAAATCCTACAGGGAACGTGGCAATGTGCATGGTCAGGGATGCTGGGGAGGACGTGTGGAGTCAGGGTGTGACGCCCGCCGGGGGCCGCGTCCCTCACCTGCTCCGGGTCGGAGGAGAAGTACCGCTGCTGCCAGAACCGAAGCCTCCGCGCGCCGGCTCTGGGCTCCCCAACCCCCGCCTCCGAGTCGCTCTAGCCACCCCAGAGTCCACCTTTGCTTCCAGCTCCACTCCTCCCGCCAGCCGCTCTAGCCCGCTCCTGCCAGGCTCCAGCCCAGGAGACTCTATTCCTCCTGTCGGCCGCTCTAGCTCTCCACTGAGCCACGCTGGCCAGATAGGGCCGCTCTGGCCTGACTTGGAGGGCTGGCGTTTCCGTATCTCGACTGCCCCCGTCACTCTCCTGGGCCCCGCCCCCTGCCCCCTGCCCCCCCGCCCCCCGCCCCCAGGCCAGAGGTGGGGATGGTTACAGCCCCCAGACCAGTGCTCAATCCGAGAACACCGAGTCGCCCCGGCCCTTCGCCCCTAGACTGGGATCCCTACCCTATCTTTCCGCCCTAACTTGGGACCGTTTGAATTCCCAACGCTCGTACATTAATTCTCCCCGCACTGCCCCCCACCCCGCCTCACACTTTCCGCTGGGGCCGCAAAGCAAAAATCCTGGGTTTGAGCATACCTTCCCATCTGACATGCAGTGGAACCTGGAAAAAGTAATTAACTCTCCCTGGGCCTCAGTCTTCCCATCTGTACAATGGGAAAAGATCCCCAGTTCTGTGCCCCTGCAACCCATCTCCCAGTGTATAACTCATGACCCAGAAAAAGACCTTTCCAAAAAATGCTTTCAAACGCGTTCTGCAACTTTCAGCTTCACAACGGCCTATGACCCCGTTATTGTCGTTTTTCCTTTTGGGTGGCTCTAAAGCATGCGGGGTTGGAGGACGGCGCTTAGCTGAAAGCACCTGCGAGTTCAAATCCCAACTCCACTCAGTCTCACGATGTATGTGACCTGGGACGAGTCGGTTTTACTCCCTGGGCCTCAGTTTCCCCACCTGTGCAATGGGAGTGATCATCCGTCCTCCGCCAGACAGTTGGGAAGCCTTGACCCCCGGCTCGCAGCCCTCATCTCACCTACTGGGCACTGAACAAGTATTAGTTCTCCTCTCTTTGTCCCCTTTGACAGATGGAAAAACTGAGGCCCAGGGAGGGGCGCCTGCTGGCTCAGCGGGGCCGGGAGGAGGCCCCTTCACTGCCGGCAGCGCCCAGCCCCCTCCCTCCTCCTCCCCACTTCCCCTAGCAGCCGAGGGGAGAGAGGCCGGGCGGGGCCAGGGACGGTGTACCTGGTGTCCGCGCGGGGAGGTGACCGGCGGGGCGCCCGAGGTCGGGCTCGGCGATCCCGGGCCCGGTGTCCCGGCTCCCGCTTCCTGGCTCTGGCGGGGCAGGAAGTTGGGGCGTTTTTCCGGAGGCCCCCGCCCCGCCGCCCCTCCCCGCTTCCTGCCCGCGCCCCGGGCCCGCCCGGCACCTCCGCCTCCTTCCGCCTCTCGCCGCCAGCCGCGCCCCTCTTTTCCCCGCTCCGCCCGGGACCCGCCCGACCTCTGCCGGCTTAGTCCGCCTGCCCGTCCGCAGGGCGCGGGTTTCACCTTTCTCATTTATGTCTGGCGTCGGCCATCACCTCCCTGGCGAGGCGGGGGGCCCTGCGTCCGCCTCAGTCTGCGCAGCAGCCGCCCCTGCTTTCCGTCTCTGTGTGTCTCTTGGTCTTCCTCTCTTTTTTTTTTGCCTCTGTGTGTTTCTGTCCGTGTTCCTCTCTTTGTGTCTGTCTCTCTTTTTCCGTTGAGGTCTTTCCCTCCCGCTCCCAGGCCCCTGCTTCTCCCCGTTGTCTTTTCAACTCTTTGTCACTTTCTTCCTCAGAGCCTTCTCTCCCCATCTCTGGGTCTGGATCTTTCTGCATCGCCATCAGTCATTTCCCCAACTGTTGCTTTCCCTAGAGTCTCAAGGGTCAGCATCTCGATGTCCATTTTTCTATGGACCCTTCTTTCCTTCCTGTCTCTTCCTGCTGTCTCTCTGTCTCTCTCTGATGCCCTTTCTCCTCAGTGTCTTTCAATTCACTTGCTCTGTCTCTCCATCATTATCCTTGTCTCGATTTCCCTCCCCTGTCTAGCTCAGAAACTCTGTATCTCTGTCCCTCTCTGTCAACCGCCTCTGGATTTCCCCACCATCCCCAGTTTAGGGCCACAGACTCTCCAAATCCCGCTTCTACAAGTCCACTCCCAGAGAACAGGTGTGGCCATGGTCAGAATTTGGTACCAGTCTCACCAGACAGTCCACTGTGTCTTTGGGACTTAAATATGCATAAATGAATATGGTTGCCTGGGTCCCCTCTGTGTCCCCCTCTGCTCAGGCACATGGCCTGGGTTGGGGCCCTTCCCAAGACACTTCCTGGTTCTTCCAGGGGACAGCCAAGACTGGCTACCTGGTCCCAGGTGTGGGGAGTGGTCAGGAGCTGGGGGAGGAGGGGGCTGAGGTCCTGGACCTCTGGGTCCCAGAGGAGGAGGGGGAGTGGTCCCCATGAGATCCGTGACTCCTGCGAAGGTCTGCAGTTGGGAAGGATTTATTATCACTAAGTGGCCATGACAGAGCAGGGAGGGGGGAGGTGACACTAATGAGACTGCTACAATCAGCTCCCCTAGAAGCAGCGACTAAGGGCTCATTACCCGCTGGAGGGGGGGGAGCCTGGGAAAGGCAGTAAGGGGAGGATTGAGTTAGGGTGTGGGGAGGGGATGAGGACGGTCTAGAGGGAAGAAGAGTGGCCACTCCCAAGTTGAGTCAGGATACTCCCAGGAAAGATTGTGAAAAGAGAGCGGGTTCCAAGGAAGTGGGGTGAGACACGGTTTGGGTGCCCAGCTGGTGGGGCAGCCCGGCTGGGTCACGGCTTCTCTAGCTGAACATCTCCGATGTGTAGGCTACCCACATCCTGGTAGGTGCCCTGGAGGCCCCGGGAGATGTCCTCATACATGGAGCAGTCATCGAGGTTCAGGCCCTGGGGTGGAAACGGGGTGGTGAGCCTCAGGGCCCGGATGCCTGGGTCCCTGCTCCCTGGTCAACCTCAGGGAGGAACCCTGTAAGAGCCCCGCCCACAGACACGCACCTGCCCCCACCTTCCACTCACCTCATAAAGATTTTCATCTTCATAGTCATCCTGGACATCTGCCCCGAATTTCATGTTCTGCCACCGTTTCTGTTGGGGGATTGGGAGCCTCCGTGAATGGGGGAGAGAATGTGTTTTCAGACCCTCATGGAGGCCAGGAGGTGCTTTACCAGAAAGGGTAAGGGACATGCCCAGAGCCACATGTCCTGTAAATGGCAGGTCTCTCTGGGTCCAAGCCAGTGCCCTTTGGGCTGTCGCCACTGCCTGTTCTTCTCCACGAATAACAACAACAATAATAGTAAATGGCTGTAGTTGCCCCGCGCCCTAAAGAGAGACTGGTGCTGGCCAGAGACTCTGGGAGGACACCAGCCCCCATCTTCCCCGGCCTTGGCTACATCTGGAGGCGACGGCACTCCTGGGTAGACGGGGAGAGTTGGACATCTCTGTGGGGGGCGGGGAATGTGAGGACAACCCTGGGGGGAGACTGAGCCAGGACGCCCCTCCGGGCCCAGCGCCATGTAAAATGCTTTCCTTATATTAAATTCCTGACCCCCTCACAGCCCCTATGAGGCGGGGGCTGCCATTCTGTCAAGTTTTAGGCGGGACCCTCAGACTCAGGGGGCCGCTGGTCCCCAGTGTGGCTCACCCTGAACAGCAGCAGCGTCCCAGGCACCACGGCACAGATCAGCAGGATGATCCCCTCAGCTGTGATAATGTTGTTCTTGGTGCCCTCTCCCATGTCCAGGAAGGGCCTGGGGAGTGGCTCTGTGAGGAGGGAGTGCCGCTCAGAGCCCAGCGCCTCGAGTCCTCCCCTCGCCTCCTGGCCACACCCGCATCGAGGCCCAAGACCACTGAAGTCCCCACCTTGCACGTGAGAAAATCAATCAGCCACCGTGTGTGAGCCGGGGAGTGAGGATGCCCGAGATGCAGGAGCTCAGGCACTGGCTCCACCCCCCCGTCACAGGTGAGGAAGCCAGCGGCCCCAGCAGTGGCGTGGTGGTGTGCGCTCACCATGCATGTGGAGGTATGGCCCCAGCTGTGGGGTGCTGTGCACTCACCACGCACGCGGAGGTAGGTCCCACAGGAGCGCTGGACCTTCTGGCCTTCCTTGACCTGGCACCTGTACATGCCCCTGTGGCTCTTGGTCACCTGCTGGATGACCAGCTCGCCCTTGGGCCCTGGGCTTGAGAGCTCCATCATAGGGGGCCACGTGGAGTTGCCCTGGAGGATGTGCCACCATGTGATGTTGGGGTTGCTGCCGTTGTGTCTGCACAGGAGGTGGACCTCGTCCCCAATGCTCACTGTCACCGATGGTGGGCCCCAGTCCACCCACAGGGCCTGGCACCTGGGGCCTGCGGAGAGGCAAATGCGTGAGGGACCGTGAATGGAGACACAGGCCCAGCCCGGCCCCTGCTTCTACAGCGCTCCTGGCTGTGTGTGTGCATGTGTGAGTGGCGGGGGTGTGTGCAGAAGAATGTGAGGGACACACTGCTGGGGGGTCCCCACTCGCCTCTCCAGAGCCACCTCCTGCCACCCTCTCCATACCTGCTCCGAGCTTCGGCCCCACTGAGCTCACTGGCACTTGGATAGTCGGGTCCCCAGGGCTAGCAGTGCCTCTGGCCAGGCAGCTCCTTCTAGAATCAGTTTGGGCATCACCTCCTCCTGCAGGCCTTCCTAGATTATTTTCTCACCCAAGCCCCAGCCTGGCCACACACCTGGCGCTTTATATATTGGGTATAACTGTCTCAGAACCCTTAGACGTCGGTTCTCTCATTATCCCATTTTACAAGTGGGACAGCTGAGGCCCAGGGCGGCAGGAGTGGCTCAGGGGTTCGAGCCCTGGCCCCCTGGCCCTGGGCCGCTTCCTGCCGGTTTGTGAGTCTGTCCTGTCCTGTGACCCTGGGCCTGCCCCTTGTCCTCTGTTTGTGTAACTTTGTGTGTGTCAAGCTGGGTGCCAGGGGTGAGTTCAGCGTTTGGGCTGGGCTGGGCGTTAGGGGAGGGCCTCAGCTAGGTGGTTGGAGGGAGGGGGCTGGGTGGCCCAGGCTTGGGAAGCCACAGTTCTTGTTCCACTCTCCCCCGCCTCCGCCCCCTCGCTGCCCTCGGGCCAGTCCACATGGCTGTCTGTGGCGGGAGGAGGAGAGAGGTGGCGGCAGAGGCAGCAACCTGAGGCTCACGGACTCCAAACTCAGCTCCCAGTGGAAATTTGGGGTGACTGGCCACCTCTCTAAACTCCTCCGTCAAACGGGGTGGTCACAGCCACCCCAGGGCCAGCTGGCATTGCGTGGGAGAGGAAGGGGGAAGGTCACCGGCTCCCCCAGCACTGAGGAGGGGTTCCCTACGTAGGGGATGGTGACTGGGATTCAAGGCAGAGAAGGAGAAAAGCTTTTTCTCCCCTGAAACTAAACACTACCCACAGCCCCCTCCCTGCCCCCAGCTCTGGAGCTCAGTCAGGGGCAGCCTTAGTTCCTTATTTTGATCTGGGGGGACGAGGGGGTGCGGAAGGTGTCTCTCGCCCTGCCTCCCCCACGGGGGATGCCCCTTAAACTTCGCTGAGCCCCCCTCCAGCCTCCCGTTGGCCTGCTTGGCACGGTCAAGCAGATGCAGTTTCTACGGGGTCTTTTCTAGACCCCTCCTGCCAGCTCCTCTCCCGTCCCCACTGCCTGGGCCCTCTCAACAGTCTCCCAGTCCCCCCCCCACCTCCCCCCAGCACCTGCCTGTTGACCACGTACCCATGCCAGCAGCGAAGATCAGGAGGAGAAAGATGGTGGCACGCGGGGTTTGGCGGGCTCGGGGACCCCCAGGCATCTTCTCCCAGTGGGTTGTTTTGTCTGGGTGGCAGCGGCCCTGGGGTACCAGATCCCACCTCGGCCGAGCCCCAAACCCCGCCCCACTTCCTGCCCAGCCCTTCGGAGATGGGCTCCACTGGCCCCGCTGCTGGGTCCTTTGGTTGTCAGGTTGGGGGCAGCCCCTGCCAGGAGGCTTCAGGCCGTGAGTGGGGAGGAACTGCTCCCTGCACCTGTGGCCGCCACAACTCCCCCGAGAGGAGGCTGCTTGGGTGGGGGAAGAGGTTGGTTTAAGGCCTGGCTCGTCACTGGAAAGGAAGCCCGAGGGAGCCAGAGTTCAGGGTGCCTGCTGCGCACAGGTGGTCAGGGGACGCGGGTGGCTCCGAGCCTGGTCTTTCCTCTCACTGGCCTTGGGCAAAACTTGTCCCCTCTCTGAGCCTCCATGTCCTCCCTCCTTGGGGTTGGAAAAGAGGATTTAAAGAGGTTGTGCATGCACAGCACTGAACACAGGGCCTGGCGCATAGTAGGTGCTCAGTAAATGTTAGTTACTATTAATGCTCATGAGGAATACCTGAGGCAGGCCCACCAGCTCTGTGACTAGCTGGTGGCTTCCCTTTCCAAGATTTGGCATTTTTAGTTCAAGAGATAAGGATAAAAATATCTCCCTGATGTTGTGACATAAGTTGATGTTCCCGACACCCAAAGGGCCACGATGGGCTCTTTCTTGGTGTTCTTTCATTTCAGCCTCTCCACAAGTGGGCAAGGTAGGCCACCCCCCATTTTACAGTGGAGGAAGCTGAGGCCATCACAGAGAGGGAACACCATCACTGTTACTTGCCCAGTTTATACAGTCTGGTGGTGCAGCAGGGATTCCAAGTCACTTATGTGTGACCAGCTTCCTTTGAGCATTATTGTAGGTCAAGTGGGAGGAAAATGAGGCCTGAGGGGTGGGGGGGGTGGGGGAATGACATGAGGTTGTTTAGATGTTTGTGAGCAGTTAGGGGACCATCTCATACATGCGCGCGCACACACACACACATAAGGAGACACCATGAAAAAATTCATGGCAGGGAGATTTTTGGTAGCAAAAACTGGGAAACAGACGAAAAGCCCATTTACAGGAGAAGGGATGCATAAATTGAGGTATAGTCAGTCAATGGAGTAGCACACAGCAGAAGAGGCCGAGCTTTGCTTGTCAACATGGCTGCATCTCAGAAACAACAAGAAAATGAGAAGAAATGTACTATGACAGGATCCGGCTGGCTTGTTTTCAAAAGGCAAAACAACAGCGTGTGCTATTAGGGACACATGTGTCTACAGTAAAGGTGTAAACGCACGCAGGGGAGTGATACCCCACTCCTGAGAGGGGTTACCTCTGGGGGAAGCAAGGAGGTTGCGACTGGGAAGGGTACACAGAGGGCTTTGTCTGTTAGTTTTATGCCTTGCTTTACTTTTTAAGCTGGGTGGTGGGTTCATGGGTCTTATTTATTTATTTATTTTTGGCTGGGCGGGGTCTTCGTTGCAGTGCGCAGGCTTTCTGTAGTTGCGGCGAGCAGGGGCTACTCTTCGTTGCGGCGCATGGGCTTCTCATTGCGGTGGCTTCTCTTGTTGCGGAGCACGGGCTCTAGGCGCGCGGGCTTCAGTAGTTGTGGCTCGTGGGCTCTAGAGCACAGGCTCAGTAGTTGTGGTGCATGGGCTTAGTTGCTCCACGGCACGTGGGATCTTCCCGGACCAGGGCTCGAACCCGTGTCCCCTGCATTGGCAGGTGGATTCTTAACCACTGCGCCGCCAGGGAAGTCCCATGGGTCTTTGTTACACTATTATGTATATATACTGTTTTGCATGCTTGAAGTATTTTTGTAATTTAAAAAAAAGGTGCAACTGTCACCCACACAGAAGAACATGGGCCACAAGAGTTCACACCTCCTGGGTTTGAATCTCAGCTCTGGTCATCTGAGCCTCAGTTTCTCTTCCTGTAATCTGGGCATAACCTCCCTACCTGTGAGGCTGTAAGAATATCAGTGTGCTTAGCACAGCCCCTAGGACACAGTTCCTCTTCTCTGGCCCTCGGGCCTTCCCTCCTTCCCTCCAGGGACCCAGGTGTTCTGCTGGATCCCTCTCTGTACAGCAGGTCATTAGCCCCTCTGTACTGAAGTTCTTCCTATAGCCCCCATGTACGAAGAAGTCTGGATCCAGACGCGGCAGCCCTTAGGAATTCACCTCCTTCAGCATCCTTCCTGGCTGAGCCGGTTTCCAGGCCCTCGACTGCCTCCCAGTGGCTGAAGGGGCGCAGCCGCCGCATTGTAGGCCCTCTCAGGCTCGCTGGCCTGTCTGGGCACCTCCACCTCCCGCTTACCCAGCACCCTGGTATCTGGCACCGTGTGAGCAAACCAGACGCTTGGCATTGCATTCCCAGGACGACTCTGGGAAATATCTTCATCCTCAATCAGCAAAAGAGGAAACTTAGGCGCCAAACAAGGACTGGCTCAAGGCCATGCCCAGGAGTGTAACCCTTTGGGCCTCATTTTCCCCACTTCTAAGGGACAGTGCCCTGTAGTGGCTAGAGCCCAGGTCCAGATGCTGGCTTTGCCACCTCCTGGCTGTGGGACATCCGGCAAATTACCCGTGACTGATCTCCATCTCCAAACGGCGCCTTTTGGTACCTATTTCACAGAGTATTAAGTGATATGTTTATAAAGCACCTTGCACGTGGCAGGCTCTAGTCCAGTGTTTATTCAGATCAGATCTTCCAGCCCTGACAACTTCCAGGCTGGGGGGGAATGACACCTTCATTCCCCACCGGGTGCAGGGGACTCTTTGGTTTGATACTTTCCATTTTGAACATCTTGGTGCATCAGGTGTGCTGCTTTGAGCCAAGACTTGGCATCTCCCCGAATCCCTCAGGTAGGAGTAAGCAGCTTTACAGGCAGGAGCACAAGGCCGAGGGTAAGTTTGCTCAAGGTCGCACAGAATTTTGGGCAGTGTTGGAATTTGAACCCAAGTCATTGGGAGTTCAAAGCCAGGCTTGGCACTGGAAGGAAATGGGTTTGACCTGAGGAGTAACTCGGGATGGGGGAACCTCAGTGGTCTTGGCCTAGCCAGCTCAGGCCCAGCATCTTAGTTTTCCCCAAATGGGAGGTGGGCCAGGTCTCAAAGCGTGGTAAGGGGACCCTTTCAAAGCTTAGCACCTGCCTACTGGAAGCCCTTTGCACCTCCCACCTGGACCAGGAGACCAATCACAGGTGGGGCTCCTGTCCCATTAGTGCAAAGAGCCAATCACCATGCAGAACTGTGGTGGGGGGGCGGCACCACGAGAGCCCTGGGAACTTGGCCTCTATGCAGGGGCCATGCCCCTCCCTTTGGCAGGGAAGTAGCAGCCCCCTGCCAGCTGGGTCCCTGCTGCAGCTTCAGCACTGCATCCCAATTCTTGGGGCAGGTACAGCTAGCTCCATCTTACAGCAGGGCCCAGGCCAGAGATCCCCAAAGTGAAGTCTCCCGTGTAGGTCAGGAAAAGGACGTGTATACTAGGCAGGTCACCTTGGGCTGGAGGCACACGAAGGACCGCCCCAAGTGACGGCTTTCCTTGTCCACTTCCTTCCAGAGAAGCAGCACCTGAGCCACAGGGCCCTCCTGTTTTGTTTCAGCAGGGTCCAAGGCTCCACGTGGGGCCACTGCTTGAACTTCCCGTTTCTTTTTCTGAGACCCGCAAAGGCAAGGTGTGGGAGAGGAGCAAGGGCCCCCTGGGTCTTGCACCACCATCTCGCCCACTTGGGGCAGAACAGTGTGAGCCTGGAAGGCCAGGCCTCAGGTTTCTGAGGCTGCTGAGTACCACAGCCATCCAGGAAAGGCCCTGGCCCCCCTCTTTCTCAAGGGAAGGGAAGTGCGGTGCAGCGCTCCTTCCTCTTGCCCGGCCACCCCCCAATCAAGAGACCCAGACCAGGATTACGAACGAGGCAATTTATTAACCCAGCATCATTTGTTCTAATGCTTCTTGTTGGCAGCTGCCACCTGTGGGAAAAGATGGACAAGTAGTTAAGATCAGTTGTGGGGTCTGTGTTCAAGCACTTCACAGTAGCTCCCCAGTAGCTATGGGACGCCAGGCACCCTGATTCGTGGTTTACATGTACTCATCTCATCCGATCCTCACGATCTTGGATGCCTCCCCATTTTACAGAAGGATAAAACTGGGACTCTCAAGGAAAGAGAGCGTTGTCGTGTTTCCAACATCTGCCCATCACTCCGCACTGCCGTTTGTGCCAGGCCCTGCTCTGCCCTGAAGAGCCACCTTCTCATTCCAGGCCACCCCCAGCCCCCAGAGGGCTGACACCTCCATTCTCTTCTGACACTTAAGTGACCCTACAGTCCAAGACTCCCAGGGGGCCTGAGTCAAGAGGGTCATGCCAGACCCTGGGGGCCTCTGTTGCCGTAGCTCATGGAATCCTCACCACCTCCCTCCGAGGCAGGCAAAAGCAGATCCCTCTACAGATGGGGAGCCTGGCTCCAGGTGAAGGGACTCTGGCCCAGGGTGTCTATAGTCAGTCAGCATCTGGATGGAGACCTGGGTTCTCAGGCACCCCAACACTCAGTAAGCATGAAGACTAAGGAAGAAAACACTGCAGCCGGAATCAGAAGGCTGACCGGGAAGAGGGAGCCGCGTGTGCGGGAGCGTGCCCTGAAGGAGAAGCCAGCCTGGCGAGCCGCACCCTGGGCCTCCCTTCACCCAGGCACCTGCATTTTCAACCAGCCCCCACAGGAAGTCTGTCAGAAACGTTCTTTCTCCTGCACCCTCCTCCCCTGGGCTGTGCCCTCCAGGGGAGGAAACTCCCATCTGACAAAACCCAGGCTCCAGAAACACCCAGGCGGTGACTGAGGTACCCAGCCCTCACCTGTCCAGCGATTCTGTCCAGATCTCTCTGTCCCTGAGGTGTTAGTTTGCGGCCCCTGTGGGAGAGAAGGGTTATATAGCCCCAGGTGAGTGCAGGCTCCCACCAGCGTCCCTGATCCCTGCCAGGCCTCTCCTGGACACGAGCCAGGCTTTCCAAGAAGGCACCTGGCCACAGGACCACATGACACCAGCCAAGTCCCACTG